TTTCTATTTAGCACCTGATAATTTTCTTTCTATTTAGCACCTGATTTGCTTCTTTCAGCAAAGGGGTAAACCTTTGCCTTGCCTTTAAATTATTTGGATTTTGGCAGAGTTTATTTCATGGCAGAGAATGAGGTATGACTGGGTTGGGCTTTGGCATTAGTCTGTATTAACACCAGAAAGTGTGGAAACCAGGTGGGAGTGTATTGTAGGTACCATTGAGTGAGTCAAGACTCTGAAAACTTTATACTTATAATGAAATGGTGTTGCAGTAAAGACAGAAGCATGCTTTGGGGAGGGGAGATAATAAAATCAGCACGTTAGATGGGTAATACTTTGTTGCATAGTGTTGCTAGTGTGGAAGAAAAAATACATACCATAGCCAAGTACCATAAATGCGAAATATACTGAATTTTTAAAATTAGTCTTTAATAATAAAGCCTTGTACCTAGAAGTGAACTTTGGTTGGGTACTTGTGATACTTCTAACTCTGATATAGTAGTCACGTTAGTGTGCCTCCCTTATCAGACAAATATGCCTATTTCAGTCTTATTCCTGCTCAGTGGCTAACATAAGCAGTTCTTCTTACTTCTGTTGTAGTGTTTTAAAGCTCAAATTCAATTTTCAGTTTTTGCTAAATATTTTTTAGCTTACTGACTTCTTCTGTTTTGTTTCTAGTTCTATTCTCTTGTGAATGATACATAATACTAAGGAATCCATTAGTCATAGATACATTCCATATTGATCCATTAGTCATCAGTGTGTTAACAAAAATTCTGCTGGAAATGCTAAAATGGGTTTGTTCTGGGTCCTCATTTTTTTTTCCCCTCAGGGTCACTGATCTTTTCAGCTAACCAAGTGCTTTGTAAGTTCTGTACCTAATTCTGTATGTCTGAAACTTGAAAGATGTCATTGGGATACTGGACATGTTTTGTCTCTTGGTCTGAGGCTGCAGAGTGGCTAACAGGTTATTTTAATTCATCTGACTAGCTTATTTGCTAGCAAGGAGTATCTATTTGTTATATTTTGGGATGTCTAACTTAAATTTCTTGATAGTTGGAATGTTTCTGGGACTTGGCAAATGGACTGTTGTTAATTTAAAACTGTCATTCATAAAACGGAAAGCACCAATTTCTTTATTACTGTTGCTTTAAAACACTGAAAAATAAAAGGTAAAACATGATTTAAAAGGGACAGCATTTTTTGTACAGGGACAAAAACGTCTGTCTACCACATAGAAAAGCTGAGTGCTTTGTTTAAATGGATCTAAGTTGTTTTGTACCATTACATCTGATCAGGAATTTTATTTTATTATGGCCTTTATACATGCTTGGGCTTTTGAAGGCTGTCTTCTTAATATTCACATTATCTCTGTTCTCAAGCAGGATGCAGTAATCCAGTACTAACCGGATTTTATTAATTGTGGGCTACAGGGAAGTTAAATCAAATATAAAGAAGAATATGCATTGTAATAAGTAGAGTCTAAAATGTATTTTCATAATCTTTAATTGATTTCTTAAATTCTAGTAATTTTTACCCCTTAGTTCTTGTTTCACACTATTCCAAGCTTCTCAGTGGTGCTTATAGCAACATCACTTAAAGGTTTGTGTCTCCATCACATACATACTCTTTACTTTGTATGTCATGTAACACACTTTTTGCTGTATTAAAAAAAATGATATTTGCAGCAAACGAGGGATGAAACACTTCAAGGGAATTCTGGGCATCTTGCAGAAGAAATATTTATATAAAATTCATTACTAATTAAGTTGTGTGATACATTTTGACAAAGTATGGTATATCACCTTATCTTTAATGTAAACAGGAGTCCCTGGTCATGTTAACCTAGTCATTTAATCTGTCCAAAGCCGCCTCCTTCTTAACATGTCCCTTCTTTACTTATCTACCTTTTATCATGCAGCTCACCATCCTCTTTGCTCCTCAGAGATGCCAGGCTTAATGGCTGTTTGTCCCTTTCTCCCACAACCACCGCTTTTCTTTCTTCAATGTCACTTCCTACACATGGAAGCTCCTTTCTGAGCTGACCACAAAGCTTCTGCACTGTGGAAGCTGGCTTCTCTGGACTGCTACTGTTCGGTCGCTATCCAGTTCAGAGTGGGAAAGTTGACTGTTGGACCCGTGTTGATAGAAGTGTGCAGGGCCATTCATCACATCCTGCTCCAAAAGACCATGACTATGGGTAACGTGCGTGATGTTGTAGATGGCTTTGCACAAATGGGCTTCCCTAACTGCGGAGGTGTGCTAGATGGCATGCATATTACAATTCTGGCACCAGACCGCCTAACCACCGAGTACATTAATCAGAAGGGGTATTTCTCTATGGTTCTCCGGCGCTTGTGGATCACCGTGGGCGTTTCACGGACATTAATGCAGGCTGGTCCGGAAAGGTGCATGACGGAGGCATCTTTCGGAACACTGGCCTGTTCAGGAAGCTGCAAGCAGGAACTTTCTTCCTGGACCAGAGGATCACTGTAGGGGAAGTCAAAATGCCCGTTGTGATCCTTAGAGACCCCTCGTACTCCTTAATGCCATGGTTTATGAAGCCATACACCAGGCACTTTGACAACATCAAGGAGCAGTTCAACATCAGACTGAGCAAGTGCAGAATGACTGAGTGTGCTTTTGGCCATTTAAAGGCCCGCTGGCGCTGCCTATATGGGAGGCTGGACCTGGCCGATGACAATATTCCTATGCTTATAGTCGTGTGCTGTATTCTCCATAATATTTGTGAAGGGAAGGGTGAAAACTTCACTCAGAGCTGGACCGCTGAGGCTCAGTGGCTGCAATTTGAAGGCAGCAATTTGAAGTTGAAAGCCACTAATATTTGTTGCTATACTCGGGAGTGCAGTGCTTTTAATACTAGGAGGTGATTGTGATTGGTGCAGACAATGCACTATGAAGGTTTAAGAAAATTGCCAGTTGCTTTGCAGGGCTCTGTTTGCTTTCAATTAATAGAATAAAGATTTCTTTCAAACCAACATAATTCTTTTATTAAAAACCAACAACCGGAGGAGAGAGACAAACAAAAAACCCCATCAGCACTGAGGGGGATGGGGGAAGGGAAGATCCCAGGAGGTGTGGAGTCCCAGGACAGTTAAAGATTTGTGTATGTCCAGGGATCATATCCAACCTTCTCCTTTGGAGTACAGAGCAGTGGGTACTGTACTTTAGCAGGGCTAAACAGCAGAGGGATGGGTATTGAGTGCAGTGGGTACTGGGAGTCCGCAGTGCTGGACTGTGATGGGGGAGAAGTGGAATGCCGCGGATACAGACTGGAGCCAGGAGGTTGATAAAAGTGTGCTGGCAGTGTCTGGGGGGAGAGGGGGTTGCATGGGAAAGAGTTTTGCGACAGTGGCTGCAGGGGAGGGCGGGTGTGGAGCTGCTTAGTTTGCAGTGCTAGTATCACCTGGAGCATGTCCACTTGGCACTCCATAATATTTAAGAGCCACTCCATGGCTTCATTCTGGTGCGCCACGTTTTCCTTTCGGTCCCTTGTATCGCTGTCCTTCATTTCCTGTTTTTCGGTCGCAGAGTGCAGCTTGACCTCACGCAGAAAGTTCTCCTTAGGTCTTCGTGGCTGTTTTCTAATTCTGCGCAGCCGTTCAGCCAGCTGTAACAAGGAGGGAGGCTGGGCTCCCAAGGTCATATCTGTAAAGCCAAATTGCAAACTTTTACAGAAGCAGTATTGT